TATATATATATATATATATATATATATATATATATATCTCTCTCTCTCTCTCTCTCACACACACACACACAATTGAGAAATGATAAGACGACAGAATTCCATTCCTTAGTTCAGATAGTAAAATACGAGAAAGAGGAAAAATTAATCGAATATTCCATCCTTGTCGAGTACTAAAGCCTCTGCCTTTACCACCCATCCTAAGCTTAGCAACCAACTGAAAATTTGTAAATAAAGCATAAAAAAGCAATAAATTAAAATCAATCAGCAAAAAAAACAAAAAAAAGAAGAAGAAAGAAACCCAAGCTCTCATTCATCACAACTCAAAAATTTCTACATTTCCCGGAACAAAAAAGCAAGAAAAAAAGGGGAAAAAAAAAAAACAAAAGTGAGAAAAAACAGAGATAAATATAGATTTACAGTGTTATGAATAACCATAATCTCACCCCCATTCCTCGTATCCAGCCATGGCAAAAACCTGGAATCCGAGTCGTTTCACCAAAAGAAGAAGAAGAAGAAAAAAAAACCATGAAACCAGAACAAAGAGAGACAAAAATCTCACTGGCTCTGGTTTTGCTGTTCATTCTGGCTCTGATTTTGATCTGGATCCTTGTTTTGATCACTGGTTTTTTGCTCCTCTTGCTTTGGCTTTTCAGCGGTGAAACTAGAGGCCTTGCTATAGATGGGTTTGGCCAAGAAGGTGGGCTTTTGATCCCCCGCCATGATCACCACTATTTTATCCTCCAAATCTGGCAAACCCTTGATGGGTTCTCCCTGTTTTTCCCCATTGTTCTCTGCTAAATCTGACTCCCCACTCTCAAAATAACCAGAGAGCTTCCAATACGAGCAGGCCAATATCAAGAGAGCAAATGCTATGAGGCCAAGCATAGCAGCAAGGCCCCCAAACAAATAAGGCACAGGTGAGTGCCATGGAGAATGCACTGCTGAAGAAGCCGTGCTATTAAAGCTACTATCAGGCCTCATTTCAGTAGAGAGAGAAAGTAGAGAGAGAGTTTTTCAAAACAGTAGAGAGAGAAGACGAAGGGAACTGAACGGTGGCCTTGGAGAGACATGCGATGGAGTTATTTATGTTATGGGCAAGGGGTATTTTAGTAAACATTTAGAGAGAAGAGAGTGGAGAGTTTTTTTAGAGAGAGAGAGAGAGAGTTTTGTGAAGTAATTAGGAGGCAAGCTTATCCGGAAACAGCGGGACCCTCGAGCATAGTGAAATCCCATTTGCGAAAGACAATCATTTACATGTTGGAAAGAAAAAACTGAATTATAAAGTGGGGTTTGTGGGTCTTATTTTTGGAATTTCTTTTGTTTGCTTTGTGACTTATGGTATTGGACCATATTCACGCTCGAAGCCTATGAAATAGCAATTGTAACCTTCAAATTTGCCGTGCCCTAGATTACGTTGGGGCCTATAGGCCATACAAGTCTACAAGTATATTTTGCTCCAAAAAAAAGTTCCGCATTGTATTATGGCATGTCCACCTTTGGATTAATCAACGGTTGGTGGAGATGAAACAAAAAGTGCCCTATTATGTGTTAATGGAAAAGAAAAACAATGAAGCAATCGGCGTATAAAATTTGGGAATGATCCATGCAATGGGCTCACGGCAATTTAGACCATAGTTATCGAGATCGGATCGATTGAATCGTTAATTGGGGCCTTACAAGTTGTAACCCAAAGCAAAAACTAAGTTTGTTTGAAAGTTAATCAAAATCAATATTTGATCGAACACATCTAGTAGATGTTGACAGATATGGCAAATTAAAGAAAATTAAACATTTTATATATAATATATTTTTTATTTTTTAAAAAATATTATTCCTATATTTTAGTTCTTAAAACTTTAATTCAACCAGTTCTTAGTTTTGATCGAATGAGACACAAATTAAGATAGGCCTATGAATGCACTACACCTGAGTTTTTGCTATTATAAACCACTACAAAAAGACTCAATTGCATTGAATGTATGTTTTCCCCATTGAAATAAGAGAGTGGAGAGCTTCTCCTAGCCTTTTCCCAATGAATGAAAACAAAGGCTCCATAAAGTGGAAGATACGGTTTGCACGCATATAGTAGTTTCAATGGGTTTGCTCGCATATTCAAGGGGCAATTTCGTCACTTGAAAAACTTGGAGACGCATATGTCATTTGGAAAAAGTTTGATTGGGTTTAGTGGGGGAGTTTCACGTTTGTCATGGGAGCGGTTTTCCTTGTCATGAAGCCGAGAATGGGAGCGGTTTTATGACGTGTGACAGTGGCCTACACGCGGCCCGCATTTCCTGCTGCTCCCCCTTTCCTCCCCTGCGACTTGTCGTTATCCTATTGAGCATCGGCTCCTCTCTCTCTCGGCTTGATCACCTGAAATACTTTTTTCTCTTTTATTTTTTTTTAAATTATTTCTTTTGGAGTTTAAAAATAAGTTTTTTATTTTGTATTTCAGACCCAGGTATATTTTTTTGAGGGAATGTGTATGTTTTAGTTTTTTTTTTTTGTGTATTGAATTTAAATTTAGAGTGACTGTACTTCTCACAATCACGGACTTGTAAAAAAAATTATTTTAATAATATAAAATTAACAAAATAACCAAAAGGTTGTAGGGGTGTTTTTAATTATTTTAATTTTTAAAATTTCTATTTGTTTTATTAATAGATACATAACTTCAAATTTGATCTTAATATGATGTGCATAAAGAATAAAAGCTAAAGTACAGTATAAGTTCTCACTTAAGCATAAGATCTCACGAGTAGACATGAGGATAAACATAAATATGTACCATTATTTTATAATTCTAATAAAGAGTTTCTCTATTTATTTATTTTTTTGGAAGGATGAAAATATAAATAACTTAAGTCATGATCATCGTGATCATCAAAACTTTATATCAACTATTCGGGGTCGGTTACACAAATCATGTTATATTGCTCTACTTTATTGTGGGTTATACCATATGTCAATATATCTCTTCTCACTACTTCTATTCATCTCCATATATATAACTTTGTATAAAAAAAACAAAGATGTCATAAATATTTCTATGAGGTTTTGTGAAGTTTAGCATAAATATAAATTCATGTTTAACCAAATTCTTGTGAAGATTAGTGTGACAAGACTCGGCCAACGGCCCAAGTTAATCGGCCCCACGGCTAAGTTAGCACGAGGCAGAGTGGTCTCGAGTTATATGTACAACTAGATATACAACACAATGTACAAATTTTTTAAAAAAATTTAAAAATTATAAAAATATGGGAATTTTGTGTCTATTCAATGACTCTATTACGACAAGCCATTTTGAAATTTAAGGGACAAGAATGAATATGACATCCATAAAAGTGCCTGACATGGATCCAAGTATGGATCCGGGTCTAAAACCTGAACGTGAATAGGTCTGGATCTAGTTGAACTCCACCCATACCCGACCCGTACCTATAAGCTATTGAAAATAAAATACTTAAAGCCATATTCGTTTGGGTGTATTAAGAATCATGTGGAACAAGAACTCGCAATTATTTTTATATATTAAACGACAAATCAGGTGGCTTGAAATTTAACAGCGAGTGATTGTGACCTTGTTACCAATGCTATGGGTATATGATAGTAAAAGAAAAAGGCAAAAAAAAAAAAAAACAACTCATAGTGAGGGCGGCAATGGACCCGACCAGACCTAAGACCCAATGGGATAGACCCGGGACTCGACTGGTACAGGTATAGGTCCAACTTTTGGACCGGACAGGTCAGATCCGTGTCCAACCGGACCCAACCCATTACCACCCTTATATCTCAGTGTACAAAAAAATAAAAATAAATGATCTCTTTGTAGATAATCCATGTTTTTCTTTATGGTGGAGTTTTAAAGTGGGACTTGATTAACTAGCGCTCAAATTAAATCAGAGCAATCACGTGTCACAGGGTTTCTACACCTCGAAACACAGTTGCATGACATTAGATGAAACACAAGAAAAGCCTGAATTAATCCTAAACTGCCCAACAAAGCCCATATAATCTCTCTCTCTCTCTCTCTCTAGCAGTCAATCTCTGTCTCTCCTGCTTACATAACCCATCTTATTTCTACTCTCTCTCTATTTACTGGCTTACGTAGCCCTATAATCTCTCTCTCCCTACGGCTTTCATAGCCCACATAATCTCTCCTTCTCTCTCTAACTAGAGTCGAAGCATATTCTTAATATTCCTAGTGACACCAAACCTTCTCTATAAATATATGCAATTCTTTTGACATGATGCCCTTTTTTGTGGCTCGAATATTTTGATTTCATAAAATTGTGAGCTTATTATCCATTTAGCTCTTTATTTTATTTTATTTTATTTTAGTTTTTGTAGCACCAAAAAAATATGGTGGGAGTTACCGATTAAGTGTAGAATGGATTCTGCAGCTGAGTCATTTCCTAAAATGAGAATTCAATGAGAGGGGGGCATAATTGGTGGAGAGGTAATCGGATATGACACCAACAATGTCTATACATACTGGGGAAAGGCTGCAGCCGTTGCACCTGAAAATCATTTCCCCATTCATCCACTTGCCCATCCTTTCCTCATTCATCAAAACACACACACACACTCTCTCTCTACCTTTCCTCATTCATCTCTCTCTCTCTCTCATCAACTTGCACTTTATTTCCTCCATGGCTCCATTCAAAAGCACTCTCTTATTCATCAAAACTCTCCTTCATCCACTTGCACTTTGTTTCTTTCGTCCTCTCTCTCTCTAGCAATTCTTTTTCATTCGTTGTATCTCTCTCTAGCAATTCTTTTCCCATTCATTACAGGGTGCAGTCTGTATAAGGTCGTCCATTTTATTATCGACCTATCTTTTATGGCAGCGTCTAGTATATCGTTTAAAATAGTGTCTAATCTATATCATCTTAATAAAATGAAAAATGAACGATGTACATTAATACAACTTTATTTCTACAAATAAAGAACCTTTTTCCTTCATGAAAAGCTCAAAACTTACTCTCTATAACAATTCTTTTCTCATTCACCAACTCTCTCTCTCTCTCTCTCTCACAGTAACAGTTTATTTCCTCTTCCGTTCCACTGGATCTCTCTCTTTATCATTCATCAATACTCTCTCTCCCACTCACATCCACCACTTGAACTTTGTTTCCTTCTTCACTATCTCTCGTCAGCAGGCGGCTTAACTGTGCAAGCATCTCTGTAACTAAAATCCAAACCAACTATCCAAACTGAAACCAATGGAATCTTCATGCAACCCAACTAACAGTTTTAATGGCCTACATCATTATTCAACCCCATTTTCTCTACTTCTCTATCCCTTTGCCTATCTATATGTATATATTTGTGTCCCTTACTCTCTCTAAAAATGTACCCTCTCTAAATGTGTACCCCATTTAGCTCTCTCTTTCTCTCTCTCTCTCTCTAAATGTGAACCCCATTTAGCTCTCTCTGCTTCTCTATTCCACCATCTCTCTACCCTGTACCCTACTGAATACTTACTCAATCCAATAAACGATTTAGTCCAAATTTCAAACGCCTAATCAACCACGTAATCCCTAATAATGATGACAAACATGGAAACTGAAATTAATTGAACATTCGATTAGGCTAATCAACAATTTCAAACTCCTAATCAACCCTAAAACCTCTCGCCATGCAACCCAATTTCAGAAAGTTAAACCAGTCCATTTCGTAGCCGATCTAATCAATCAATATCATAATCCAAAATTAATAGATTTAATCATTAAAATGATTAAGCTGTAATCAGGGCACCTGAGCCGCTTGAGCCCGCCAACTAAGCCGAGCCGATGATTGGGCCAGCTCGGCTCAGGTGGTTTAATCATGCATGGTGGATGGGACCCACGCCGGACATTCGCTGGGCCCCGCCACTTTATGATCTGCCGGCCACCTCATCGCCGGCCAATCTCTGGCATTTGGCCGGGAAAAGTACGGATTCCGTCATCCACGTCAGCAACCGAAAGCGGGTGGGCCACCCCCTTCGCGGACACGCCAAGGACAAGGATATACCTGGCGGCAACGGAATGGAAGAATTCCATTAAAATAAAAGAATAAAATAAATAAATA